AACAGTAAAGAAAGATGAAATAACGAAATTTTCAGGTAAATGGATGGATATAGAAACTTACACTAAGTGAGGTAACACAAACTCAGAAAAAAAAAAAAAAAAAGAGGCATGTTCTCCCTCATTTGTGGATCCTAGCACCAAATCCTTATAAGTGAGCGCATATCCTGATGTAACTGCAGGAACCCGAATATGGAAGGGAACCAGGGAGGTAAAGGGAAAGAAGGAACCCAAGAGAGAATAGTTGGAGTAAGGTGTTACTAAAGGAGAAATATGTAAAAAGGGGGTAAAGTGGAAAAAAATTCCTGATAAACTGGGGAAAAGGGGGCAAATTCTCATAAAAAAAAAAAAAAAGCCTTAAGCACAGAAGGAACCCAACAGGGATAAAGAAAGCCCTACCAGAAGTCATAGGGATGTTAAATGAAAATTGTGGTGCCAGAGGAGGGTTGCCCCCTTATGAGCTGTTGGCCAGAGGACCCTAGAGGTCCTCCAAACAATAAAGGCCATTGCCATATACCAGAAGTGGATGGTAAACCCCATTGCTGAAGACACTGCATGATGTGATCATGGGAGAGGGAGAAATCAAGCTTGGACTAAGCTGGAAACTTCCTGCCACTGGATGGATGGGTGGCTTTCATAGTGCCAGAAGGTGATATGCAGATGGCTGGGGGAGAATTCTGCTCAAAGACAGACCCCACATGCTGCACTACCAAGATGCCAAACAGGATGTTCCTGCTGGTGCAATAGCAGTGCATCTACTGTATGTATGACCAGCAAATTTTTGTTTGGATATAATGCCCACTCCTAGATGTGGAACACACATCTGGTACTGTACACCAGGCCAACACCCTGTCACAGGGGAGGATACAGCCCCCACTGGGGAAGCCACTGAAATTGTTTTGTTAGATGGATGTAATGCACCTGCTAAAGTACCATCTAAGTACCACCTGCTAAAGTATGGACTTTCCAGCACAGCTGTAAATGAGGGGGCGCCCACTCTTCTGTAACTAAACCCCATCATATGCTCTGTTAGCAAGTCCAATAAACTCATTAGGATTTTCTAAAACAAAAACAAAAAGAACAGAGCTAATGGAAACCTTCATTATTCCACCAAAGTTGACCCCATGTTGACAAATCACCTTTGGTCTTTGATTTCTTATTCCTATTTCCCCCAAAAAAACTTCATTTTGTGTGTGTGTGTGTGTGTGTGTGTGTGTGTGTATAGTTTTGGTCTTTTTGAGACAGGGTGTCCCTGTAGCTGCAGCTGGCCTGGATTTGCTGTGGAGACCAAGCTGTCCTTGAACTCACAGAAATCGATCTGCCTCTGCCTCCCTAGTGCCAGGATTAAACGTGCACCACGTTGAACATATTTTTTAATTGAATTTTTGGGTATTTCATACAGAACATCTCAAACAATCTTAATCATCTTTATACCCCCAACCCCACTGGTACTCTCCCATAGTCCCCCCACTGGAGCCCATATCATTGTATGTATATTTTTATGTAACCTGTTTCAAGTTATTTCTGGAAAAATGTTAAAAATTGCCTCTCTTTGGAATTAAAAAAAAAAAAAAAAAAAAGAAAAGAAAAAGAAAACTTGGTTAGCTGAAAGTGACCAAATAAACTGATTCTTTGTAGTTAACCTCCTGGTTAGCCTTCAGGTCAACTAAAAAACCACACATGAAGTAAGTTCCACATAAGTTCCATGTGTTTCCTATATTTAAAACTGTTCTTTTCCTCAATCTCCTGATGCTCAAATGCTACTACACTGCCAGTTTCAAGATTACAAAGCATGAAGTCCTCTCACAGAACAGAAACATGAAGAAAGCTAGCATAGAATGTAGCTTAGCAACCTGAGACTCTACTTGGTTTGGGCTATGCACACATCGTTCTTCTAATAATGCACTCAGAAACCCAAGACTTGCATATACTATGTACATACACTCCTCTGAACAATGCACCTACCACTTGTTAGCAACCTAGAGCCCCCACCTGAATTAACTATATACAGTCCTTACTCTGAATAATGCAGTAAGTTTCTCCTTCTTTTAACAACCATCAAATATAGATCCTATTCAATTGTACTACAGCCATGTCCAGGTACAAAGGTAGGGGGTTGGCAGTCTGATGTGGTACAGTAAGGCAAACTGTGTCTTCTAAGTGAACTTTTAGGGAGAATCCACTATTTACCATCTTATACCTATGCAGAATTGGGCACACATATGATTAAAATCAGTTGCATCGTGAGAAGAAACATGCTCAACAGAAGTTATATAACTCAAACCAGTCAATCAAAATAGGGAACCACCCAAACTACACTCATCATCTCCAAACTCTTCTTTCTTATAGGCCCTATAAAAAGAAACTCCAGGGAATAATGTGGGGCCCCTGAGTACTTTCTTACTCATGTGGCCCACTGTTACTTGTTTTGTTTTTTGAGACAGGATCTTCCTGTAGCCCCAACTAGCCTGGAACTTGCTATGTAGACCAGACTGGCCTTGAACTCAGAGATCCACCTACCTCTACCTCTGCCTTCTGAGTACTGGGATTAAAGGCAAATGCCACACACCAAGCCCACTGTCTCTCTTGAAAGCATGTTAACCTCTGATCTGTACTACTGCTTTGCAATGAATAAAGTTTCCTTGCTACTTTGCAATCTGTGAGGGCATTTATTTCTAATCCTTGAATAAAAGAACGTGAAAATACCTGGCCCAGACCCTGACCACCAGTAACAGAAGCATGAGGCCCTGTTACAAGATGGTATCTGAGAGCCTCTCACAGGAGGAAGCATAAGGAACTCTGACAGGAAGAAGTATAAGCTTAGCACTCTCATATGAGGAAGTTTAAAGCCCTCTCACAATAGGAAACCAGAAGCCCTCAGCTAACCTCAACTGAAAGTATGCAAAAAAGAGAACTGAGATTCACAAGTGAAGGAAATGGAGCTAATCTGGCAAAACTAAGATGGGGTACTGACACCAACAGACATGTAAGTCATATTAAATCCCAAGGTTTCTGGAGAACCTATAAATAACTAGAATTGTGTATTCCTCGATGACCTATCAAACTACAGACAGAACAGCCTTAGTCTTTTATTTTAAAAAATATTTTATTATTTTAAAAATTTTTATTGCCTGTGTGGTATGTAGTATACCTGTGTCATGCAGTGCATGTGGAGGTCAGAAGAGGACACTGGATCCCCTGGAACTGGAGTTATGGACAGTTGTTAGCCAACATGTGGCTTCTCAGATTTGAATCCAGGTCCTCTGCAAGAGCAGTCAGTGCTCTTAATTGCTGACCCAGAATCACTCCAGCCCCTGACTAGACTCTTGCTGGCCACCAGTTACTAGCAGCTTATGCAGGAATGAGAATTAAAACTATATTTTAAAAACTGCCCCCAATTTTTTCTTCTGCCCTCTTTTTCATATATGAAACTTATTTACCAGGCCTGGAGAGATGACTCAGTAGGTAAGACTGCTTGTTGTGCAACCATGAAGATCTGAGTTCATATCCCTGTACCCACATTAACAACCCAGGCATGGTCCTATACAAGCCTGCAATCCCAGCACTGAAGAGAGAAGACAGGAGGATCACCGGAGTTTGCTGGCTGTCAGCCTAGCCCCCCCCCCAAAAAAAAAGTGAGCTCCAGGCTCAGGAAAAAGGTAGAGAGAGAAAGATGAGAATAACTAACACCCTCCTCTGATCTCTGCATATGCACACAAATACACACACTTGCACACATATGTACAAACACACACCATACCCACAAGCCCCACTCCCCCAAACAAAACCACCTTAATTTCCCTTATTAGAAGAACCAGTATCTATTCAGTACTGGTTTCCATTGTGTAAAGGTTTACAGGTATGTGATGACACTGTGATGAATGTTTCCCACTTCAAGAAACCACTTCTGTAGATTAACTCAACCAAACTGCCTCTTGCCAGACCCAAGCACCCAGGCAGCTCTCTATATGGGCCTTACAAATGTCTATTCATTTTTCAATGCAAATGTTTCCTCTGGTACAGGTATAAAAGCCTGTAACATCTACGAGACTGCTATCTTAGAAACTGTCAAGCTTTCCCCATCTCCCAATCTTTTTTTTTCTAGTCCTGGTGATGGAATCCAAATCCTTGGGTATTGCCAGGCCATAATCTACCACAGAGCCACACTCCCAGCCCCTACAATCTTATTAGAAAAACCTTAAAAGAAAACCTTCTTGTACTTACATTCAACTATTAACTACTTACCCTTCTATTTGCATCTATGTAACTCCTCCCCAATTCTTACTGAAGTGGATACCATAAACATATCACCAGAAATGCTTTCATTTACTGATTTCACATGGTCCTTTGTCATAATGTGAATGCATGTAAACTTAGCTTACTATATGGATTTCTGAATATAGAGGGACTTGTACATACATAGCAGGGACTCAATAAAAACACAAAATGAAAGACTGGGGATTTGGTTGGTAGTACAGCACTTGCCTAGCACAGTTGAGGCCCTAGGTTCAAACTCTAATACTACAAAAAAAAAAAAAAAAATAATAATAATAATAATAATAATAATGAGACAAAAATATCCCAGAAAGAACTTGTCCTAGGTACAGAACATTTGAGATAAAACATGAAATTGATTTTGTTGGTATCAAGAAAAAAGCACAAGAGGGGCTGGAGAGGTAGCTCAGTGGTTAGCTCTTGCAAAGGGCCAAGGTTCAGTTCTCAGCACTCACATGGCAGCTAACAACCATCTATATTCCAGTTCCAAGGGATCCAATGCCTTTTTTCTGGCCTCTGCTAGCATTGCATGGCACAACTGCACTTACATACAAGCAGACAAAATACTCATACACACAAAATAAAAATAACTTTTCTAAAAAAAAAAAAAAGAAAAAAAAAGAAAATTAAGCACAATACAAACTTTCACACTAAAGAATTATTTGAAGAAAATTCTTATGTTTTTCTATATAGTCTGTACTTTCTAAATACAAGAAAATGGGTCTGACCTTGGGATTATATTCAGCATTTCGGGCACGAAGTGCAATGGTCTTTAGGTCAAGTTTACAACCAAGATTTACTGTGGATACAATATTTCTGTAAGAAATATGAAAAGAAAACATGATTAAGATATTTAACTTGTACATAATGAGGTATTAATTGATGTTCTGAGTCTTCACTAGACTTTAATTAAAAACAATAAACAACAACAAAAAGAAAAGGCCTACTAAATGTTTAGCTTCCATGAACCAGATATTATCAGCACTCACAATGCACTGTGAAGAGGTAACTACTACTCCCATGATCAAAGAAGTTGAGGCTTCCAGGGAATTTACCACGTTTGGGAGCAAATGACCCCCAAGTAAAGGAGCCAGGACTTGGGTGTCTGCAAAACCATGCCCTGAAGTTTCACATAACATCTCTCCCTACTGAGCTCTGAAATACCAACACTATCCTACTTTCAAAGTCACTATTTATAGTGAAAACAGGCAGTCCTCTCAAAATAAGAAATCTTTTGGAGGGATGAGAATTCACTTTTCATGGTAAGGAAAAAATGTTTTCTGTTAGCCTTAATATCAAAATATATAGAATCATCATTAGCAGGCTGAGGAAATGGCTCAATTGGTAAGTGCTTGCCATGCAACCACGAAGACCTGAATTCCTAGAACTCATGTAAATAAAAGCCAGGCATGGTGATGTGCATTGGCTTGCATTTGCAATCTCAGTGCTGAGGAGATTCAGACAGGAAGATTTCTGCACTGGGTATGGTGGAGCACATCTTTAGTCCCAGCACTTGGAGGGCAGAGCCAGGTGAATTTCTGTGAGTTCCACGCCAGCTGGGGCTACAGGAAGACCCTGTCTCAAAAAAAGACAAACAACAACAACAACAACAAAAATGTATGCAGGCAAGATTTAACTTTGGGGGTAATAGTCAAGATTCATGATTGCACACCACTTAAGTTTCAAAACCGATCTGGCATAGTCAGGCATGGTGGCACATGGGAGGCAAGAGGCAGGCAGATCTCTGTGAATTCAAGGTCAGCCTGGTCTATCTAGTGAGTTCCAGTCCAGCTGGCGATACAGGGAGACTATGTCTCAAAAAGACCAAAATTTAAAAAAATGATCTAGCATGGCCTAAAAATGAAAATTATATATGGAAAAAGATAACCAAGTACAAGTAGAAAACAAATAAAAAAAAATAAACAGAAGAGTGGAGAGTATTGTGCACAAAACTGAATAGTGTCACCTGCAAAGGATCCTTTACTCCAGGACATGCACTATCTAAAAATAAAGCTATATACTGGTCACTGAGTGCTATCTGGGAAGTTTTGGCTGTTTTTCAGGAAGAAAAAAAATTTGCCCATCCTTCTTACTTTAGATACAGAACCCACTAGAGGTCAGAAAAGCTCATTATGACAAGAACTGCCATCTTCGCCTTGTAAGAGGGACATAAATCTTCAAAGTTGTGAATATAACCCTCAAGAAAAAAGGAAAAACCAGGGGCTGGAGAGATGGCTCAGCGGTTAAGAACACTTGTTGTTCTTGCAGAAGACCTGGGCTCAAATCCCAGCACCCACATGGCAGCTAACAACTGTTTTTTTTTAAAAAAAAAAAAAAAGCCTCATTTCATTCAACAATTCCAACAGCTCTTCCCTTCAAAATTAAAAAAAAAAAAAAAAAAAAGAAGAGAGAAAAAAAAGGAAAAACCAGGACCCCCTAAGACCTGTGCTAACACTATGGCTAATCCTATAATATAACTGTTTTCTGCCTGGTTTCTGACTCAGCCAATCTGCTACACGAAAATGTCTACAGTATCAATGAAACTCAGTATGCATTTTAGTGGCCCCTGTACATAAACACAAGCAACTGACTCACTCTGTAGCTCCAATTCCTTGTCAAGGACCTTGGAATAGAATTACCATTGAGCTACTTCCAATGTCTGAAAGCAAATAATGTAATACAACTCTGAAAGCCTTCTCTGGTACAGAGGACAGAGAACACCAAACAGAAATGTATGGGTGTCCGTGGAGGCACGGGGGATGGGGACACACAAACACACACATGCGCACACATATACACCATATACTCACTGTAGCTGTGGTACAATTCCAGAGCTCTCAGAAGCTGGTGTGGCAGGAGTAATGGGAGTCATAGGAGTCATTGGAGAAGGGTACAGAGGGGTATTTCCTGGCAAGGGTGCAGTGGTCAGAGTTTGAGAATGGAAGAGCTGTGGGGTTTGGCCTGAGGCACCCTGTGTGGGTTGCTGGGATGCTGACTGCTGTACTACAGCTGCTGCAGTTGCTATTGCTTGCTGCTGCTGCTGCTGCTGCTGCTGCTGCTGTTGCTGCTGCTGCTGCTGCTGCTGCTGTTGCTGCTGCTGTTGCTGCTGTCTTTGTTGCTCTTCCAAAATAGACAGACTGCTGGTGTTCTGAATAGGCTGTGGTGTCAGTCCTGTGCCATAAGGCATCATTGGACTAAAGATGGGAATTCCAGGAGTCATGGCACCCTGTGGAAAGAAAGGGGAGAATGATCAGGACACCAGTGTTAAGGATTTTAGGTTCTTGGCTGGTGGAACTCGGGTAAGATTGTAAAGCACTGATGGTTTCTGAGTATAATGGGTCATTCAGTATTAGTAGGGAATGTCAGGCATGGTGGTAAATCCCTTTAATCCTAGTACTTGGGAGGCAGAGGCAGTGAGATCGAGGCCAGCCTGGTCTACATAGCAAGCAGCAGGCCAGCTGGGGCTTCAGGGAGACCCTGTCTCAAAAAACAAAACAAAATAGTATTAGTAGGGAAGAACTTGGTGTTCTTAGGTACATCACTTTTTTTCTTTAATACTGAAGATAGGCGATGAGAGCTTAGAATTTGGAATCTGACTGCTATTTATGACATGCAGGAACTTGAGAAAGATGCTTAGCCTCCTAATCGTATCTAGAAAGTTGGGAGAAAAGCTATAGTGGCCTATGTCTCTGTTCAAAGTACTACCCCAGTATATGAGGAATACCCATCAATCAAACATCTGTCCAATGTGAATAATCAATTACATAGTCACCTGGAGAAGATGATCCAAGATGACAAGCTCATAGGCTACTAGCATACTAGTAGAAAAATTAATAATTTATTCTACCAAAAGCATAAATCAACAAAGGCTATAAAATAATACCAATTGGCTTTTCTATAAGACATCAAACTTTTATAAACATTATTTTTTCATTATTTATGCAGCAGCAGGAAGAACAGGGGATAGCAAAAAATGTATACAGTGAGCTAAGTATGATAGTGTACACCATTAGTCCAAGCACTCAGAAGGCAGACAGGCAGACCTATTCTGAGTTCAAGCTCGGCCTGGTCTAAATAGTGCTTTCCAGGCCAACTAGGGCTATGTAGTGAGATCTGTACCCCAACCTACCCCCACAAGAAAATCTATACTGTGGTGGAACAGTCTACTATTGCGACTACCATTGATTTCTATAAAAATTATGAAACTATTAACTAGAGGAGGCAGGCAGATCTCTGTGAGTTCACTGGTCTACACAGTGAGCTCCAGGCTCCAGGGAAACCCTGTCTCAAATAAAAAAATAAATAAATAAAAAATAAAAAAGAACTGTAGACTATCAACTCCAGAGCCAAGCACAAGAAACCTCGTTGGTCAGAGTAGTCAAAGAGAATCCCAAAACAATATAAGCTATTGCCATTGCCCTTGGTTGCCTACCAGAGCTTGAAGGTAAGCTCCCATTGCTAAAGATACCACATATTTCAGACACAGGACTTGGAGGAATTGAGCTGGAATTGACCTAGAAAGCCTCCTCCTTGAGGAACAGCTCTCATAGTATTAGAAGGTACTAGGCAAGCTGCCAAGAAAAGCAACCAGTAGGCCTACTGTAAAGCCTATGAACCACAACATGACCAGCCCAGCAAGATATCATTAAGTCATATATTGGTGGTAACTAACAACTGTCTAATTGGACTTAAGGACAATTTAAAAGGAGGGAATTCATGGTTGGTAGTCTAAAACTAGCCAAATACCTGTTGCTGAGAGCCTACTATTGCCATTTCCTCCCTTGGCCCCTTGCTCAGCCTGCTTTCTTATGCAACATAGGCCCACCTGCCCAGAGGTGGCACCACCCAGTGGGCTGGGCCCTCCCACATCACTCAACAATCAAGAAGATGCCCCACAGACATGGCCACAGGCCAATCCAATGGAGGCATTTCCCCAGTTGAGGTTCTCTCTACCCAGGTGTGTCAAGTTGACACTAAAGCTATCCAGCATAACTGACCCCTTGTCAACTTGACACATAAACACTTCACTATTAAACCATACCCTTTCCAATTCTTGTCCTCAAAATACGATAGTAACATTAATATCACAACATGAGACAGGACAACCTTAAAACCCTCTCGGTCCTGAATTTAAAAAGCCAAACACTTAAAAAGTTCATAGTTTCTTCTAAAAGTCTCTTAGCTGTGGGCTTCTGTAAATCCAAAACAAGTACTGTCTTATTTCAAAGGGAAGAATTGGGCACTCCTAAGCAAAACCAAAGTCCAGCAAAGTAGCTCAAGGTTTGACATCTGGGATTCACTCATGATCAAAGGGTTCTGGCAGCTCCACTTCTCTGACTCTGCCATCCATAGCACACACAACTCATCTTGCAGACCCAGGCCAGCTCCATCCCACACCTCACTAAAGAAGTACTTTTGCCAGGCGTGGTGGCACAAGCACTTGGGAGGCAGAGGCAGGTAGATCTCTGTGTTTCAGGCCAGCTGGGGCTACAGGGAGACTCTGTCTCAAAAAGACCAAAGGGGGAAAAAAAGAAAAGAAAAAAAAAAAAAAAGGAAAAAGAAAAAGTACTTCTTTAGTGAGGATTGAGAGCTACACTTATCTACGTGCGTAAGTATTTAGAAGAAGTACTTTTTTTTTTTCACCAGAGGCTAGTACAGAGATCCATAACTCATCAAAATGCAAAGAATAAATGTCTGTAAGGAGCCCAGCCCCAACTGGTATATCTACAATGCAACCCCTACACCCAAGGCCCAGGGAACATTATGGAAAGGGGGAAGGGAAGCTGTAAGAGCTAGAGAACCAAGATGTCTACTGCTTGATAGTTTCTTCCAGGCATGATAGGGAAGTTGTACCCATGAAATCATAACAATATAGTTGTCTAAACAAGGCCTACATAATGACACTAATTGACATGCCAAGGTGGATGGGGGAAATTCCACAAGGTCACACCTCTAGATGAAGAGCTATAGGCAATCAATGTTTGCTGACGGGGGAGAATCAGTTTTTCCAGGGACAAGCTCCCTGATAGGTTATCCAAGGTAGTCAGTCCTAAACATATGACATACTAGTACCATTAAATGGACTCAGTAGGTGTGTATCTCTGTGTGTATATGTATAACAATAATAATTAAAGACAAGGTAAAGATATTGAGAGGGAGTGGTGGGAACACGGAAGTTGGAGGGGAAGAGAGAGAAGTGAAAATGATGTAAATACAGTACTCATGTATGAAATTATCAAAAAAATTTTAAAAAATTAATATTGGGTGAGCAAGATGGCTCATCAGGTATATTAGTCACTTTTCTGTTGCTGTGACAGAAACACTGACCAAAGAGATTTATAGAAGGAAGAGTTTGCGCTTACGGTTCCAGGGGAATTACAGTCCGTCATGGCAGGGAGGCATGGCAGCAGAGGTGGCTGGAGGAGGAGCAGTGGAAGCTAAGCTCTACATCTTCCAGCAGGCACAGGAAACAAGAGAGCAACTGGAGATCCGGCAAAGCTTAAGAACTCTCTAAGCCATGCCTGCTGTGTTGTATGTCCCCCTCCACTCCCCTCCCAGGATAGCCATACCTTTGAACACCTCCCAAAACAGCGCCACCATGTGGGCACAAAATGTCCAAATACTTGGAGTGTATTGGGGGACATTTTCATTCAAACCATAGTTAAATATCGGGCAAGTGATATGGCTCATCAGGTAAAGGCACTTCCTACCAAGGCTGAAAGAACTGAGCTCAGTTCCTGGGACCCACACAGTGAAGAGAGAGAACCATATTGCCCTCTGACATCACACACATGCCATGGCCATATACATGCAGTAATACCAAAGCTCTAAGAGGTTTGCTATACTTCTTTTTTCTTTTTTTGAGACAGGGAACTCACTATGTAGACCAGGCTGGCCTTGAACTCACAAAGATCCACCTGCCTCTGCCTCCTGAGTGCTGGGATTAAAGGCGTGCGCCACCATGCCCGGCTACTTCTTTCTTTTTTAGAATATTTTTTGAGACCACATCTCACTATGTAGTCCAGGCCGGTCTCCAACTCACCACCTTCCTTGCTTCACTCTCCAAAGTGATGGGAACATAGTGTGGATCATCACATTGAGCTAAAGTAAAATCAGCTTGCAAGCCAGGCATGGTGACACATTCCTCTAGTCCTAGTACTTAGGAGGCTGAGGCAGGAGACTTTGAGTTTCAAGCCAACCCAGGCAAGATCTTGTCTCAAAGCACCTCCCCAGCACCCCACTCCTGCCACCATTTTAAAAAATTAGCTGTGAAACACATCATACATAAAAAGCTAAAACTATAAGGATAAGCTCCTTATGCTTTGGGGGAGACAGAGATTTATCTAGATAAAAAACTGGTAACTAAACCAGAAAAAAATGAGTCAGAATGTTGTTATTTTCCTATCATCCCAGCACAGTGAAAACAGGCAAGAGGATCAACTGGGGCTACCTACATAGCAAGACCTAATCTCAAAAAAAAGGAAAAAGTTGTTTTATTTTTCTTTCTTTATTTTTTCAAATATTTTATTATTTTTATGTGTATAATTTTGTGCTTCCATGTCAGTAGGTGCACCCATGTTGTACAATGCCCACAGAGGTCAGAAGAGGGCATCAGATCCCCTGGCACTGGAGTTTTGGAACGTTGTTAGCTCCCATGTGAGTGCTGGGATTCGAGCCCAGGTCCTCTGCAAGAGCAGCCAGTACTATTAATTGCCAAGCCGTCTCTCCAGCCCCTTTCTTCTCTTTGGAAGGCATCTCTAAGAAAATTAAAAGGCAAACAACCAAGTGGGAGAAAATATCTCTATTATGTCTGAGAAGGGACTGAAAATATACAGAATATATAAGTGGATCTTAGAACTTTAAGATCAACAAATGAACCAATAAAAAATGGGCAACATGTGCTCGATTTGGCAGCACATATACTAAAATTGGAACGATACAGAGATTAGCATGGCTGCTGTGCAAGGATGACATGCAAATTTGTGAAGCGTTCCATATTTTTCTATCCATCTGCTAATCTAGTAATTAAACTCATGTCTACAATTACAAAAAAAAAAAAGGGCAACACATACGAAGGACATTTTACAAATAAAATATATAAATGGCCAATAAAGTATTTGACAAGATGCCCAGGACTATTATCATCCCAACAAAAATCAAAGCCACAACAAAGTATTACTGGGTAATGCTAGTTTGGTGAGACGTAAAAGTGTTGATGAGAATGTGAAAAAAACTAGAATTTCCCCACTGTTGTTGAACAGCAAAATGTAGAGCCACTTTAGCCAACATGATTCTGTTTTTAAAAAAATAAAGTTAGCCAGGCATGGTGGTACACACCTTTAATCCTACCACTTTGGAGGCAGAGACAGGCGGATCTCTATGAGATCGAGGCCAGTCTAGTCTTCATGGTAAGGTCCAAGCCGGCTGGGGCTACAGGGAGACCTTGTCTCAAAAAGACAAAAATATGGGGCTGGAGAGATGGCTCCACGGTTAAGAGCACTGGCTGCTCTTGCAGAGGACCTGGGTTTAATTCCCAGTACCTACATGGCAGAAAACAACCATCTGTAACTACAAAACTAGGAGAATCTGATGCTCTCTTCTGACCTCTGCTAGCATTGGGGGGCAAATAACTGTCCATAATGCCAGTTCCAGGGGAATCCAATATGGGTATATTTACATACATGTAGGCAACACATTCATACACATAAAATAAAAATATTTTAAAAAGACAAAAATAATAAATAAAAATAAAGTTAAATATACACACCTATATGTAGTCTGGAAGTATTTACCTAAGATAAATAAAAATATAGCACACACAAGTAGTTCTAGAACCTTTATTCTTAATAGTTTCAATCTAAAAACAACTCAGAATGTGAGAGGACAGACAACAGACACTTGGCAATAAAAAGAAATTATATACGGTTACATAAATGTTACACTGGGCAAAGAAAACAGAAAATGCACACACAGACATAGACATAGACACACACACACACACACACACACACACACACACACGCGCGCGCGCGCGTGCGCGCGCACGCACACATGCACGCATGCACGCGTGCACTGTATGGCAAGGCTATAAGAGTGATTGCAAAGAGGAAAAAGGGATTTATTTTCTGGGGTAAATGCAATGTTCTACAGCTCACAGAGATGTGTTGAATAAGAAAAGGTACAGTTAAAATGAGTACTTTTTTGTACATAAAAACTGTTTCATAAGAGATTCTTAAGAAGTACATCTATGCAGTTAAGAGCACTGGCTGCTCTTGTAGAGGGCCCAGGTTCAATGCCCAGCACCCACATGGGGGGGGGGCAAATAACTGTCTATAACGCCAGTTCCAGGGGAATCTAACGCCCTCTTCTGGCCTCCATGGGCACTGTACAACATGGGTACACTTGCATATATGCAGGCAATAACACTCATACACATAAAATTAAAATAATAAAATATTTTTTTTTTAAAAAAAGAACATCTGTGACTTAGAGATTTTAACATTAAAAAGGAAAAGAATAGAAAATAATGTGGTAAGGGTTAACATCCGAAGTCAAAAATCCAACTACCAACTAAAGTATTCTTCTAAGGGTTTAACAAAGAGATTAGTTTTATGGATAAATAATTTAGATTACAAACTCCAAGTAAAATAGTATTGTACCTATCCAAAGCAGAATTTTTCATAAACTAAAACGAGATTGAAAAACATACAAACCCAATACTACATGATTAAATTCCCCTTCTTTTGCTCTCTCTTAAAGGGCACAAGTCCACCCTCCTTTGCCACTCCCTCCTGATTACCTGTGGGGAGGCCAAGCCCTGGGCGTAAGGTGGCAGGCTGTTGTTCTGATCCATGATGCTCACTTTCTTCAGTACTCAGATTTTTCGTGGCACATCCTGTGCACACTCTTCTCAGAAACTTCCTCAATTCTCTGGGCTATCTTCACACACCATCAAAGAGTGATGCTACCTGTAAAAGAATAAACTTAAGGAAAGGATACAGGTAACCAGTAATATAAGCAGAAATTCATGTTTACACCACACACACACACACACACACACACACGTGCCATTTTGACAAACTTTAATCCCCAAATCCTATTTCTTCCATGTTTCATGTGACTATATTCAAACGCGAAACCACCAAAGAAACAAAAACTATGCTGCAATATGTTTAAATACTCCAACATCACTCAATATTCAGGTGTCAAGATCAATTTTAAAAACTTTTGGGAAAGGGGCTAGAGCAAGATGGCTCAGCAGGTAAAGGCCATTTGATGTCAATTCTGATGCCCTGGGTTGGTTTGCCCACATAGTAGGAGAGAACCAACGCTCACAGGTTGACCTCTGACCCCCAATAAATAAATAAGTGTAATTTTTTGAAAAAAACATTAGGGTCAAGCCCAACCCCCCCCCAAAAAAAAACTTTTTGAGGAAAAACATCTAGGGAAAACTAATTCCTAAGCAACCTGTATTATCAAAGCATAACACTTACTAAGCACTCTTTACATAGCACTGTTAGGTTAAGTTCAGGTTTTATTTTAAAGCACTCTACTCAATTTTATACCCCTTACAATGTCTTGGGCATAAAGTTTCATAAATTTGAATTGGACACTATATGCTTGAAATAATCATTTATTGAGTTCCAATTTTCATTAAAGACAAAACAATAAATGAAACATTATTTTTATAAATGCAATATTCTTGCCATCTCAGATACATTAATGCAAACTGTGCCCCATCTGGGTTTCTTAAATCATCATCTCTTTAGCGATTGTGAATATGACTGTGGCTATGAAACATAAAGATGAATCAAGAGACTGTTAAAAGACCCATTTTTTTCCTTGTGGTAGTGATGGTGATCAAATCCAGAGCCTCATGAATGCTAGGTAAATGCCCATCCTCAGGTTTTTTTTTTTTTGGTCTTTTTTGAGACAGTCTCTCTATATCCCCAGCTGGCCTGGAATTCACTATGTAGACCAGGATGGCCTCAAACTCACAGAGATCCACCTGCTCTGTCTCTGCTGGGACTAAAGGCATGTGCTACCACACCCAGCCCATCCTCAGTTCTTAAAAGACATTTTTTTCAGTTCCGTTCAAGAGAACCAATAACTTGCTCAGCGGTGCTATAAGGAATGAATGAATCATCAATGGACAAACAGACTGAATGAGTTAACAAATCAAGACGAGACTAGCTATACATACAGTAGCACAGAGCAAATATTAGCTATTACAATTAGATATTAAACATTTATCATCATCTAATCTCACATAGAACTTACAGGTTTCAAAGTTACAAGTTGTATATCTGAAGACCCATATTCAGTTTAAGTACATGGTACAGAGTAAGCATTCTGACATTAGTTGAATCAATAAAAGAATCACTTTGAAGGGCTATAGAGATGACTCAGCAGTTAAGAGCACTGGCTGCTCTTGCAGAGGACCTGGGTTTGATTCCCAGCACCCACATGGCAGTAACAACCGTCTGTAACTCCAGTTCCAGGGAATCTGACAACCTCTTCTGACTTCCACAAGCACTGCATGACACTGGTACACTTACACACATGCAGGCATAACACTCATACACATAAAATTTTTAAAAAATCACTTTGAGAGGACAAAGGACCCAAAGATATTTCTACAAACTCATCACTGAAAAATGAGGTAAGACAGGAGCGAGCGAGCGAGCGAGCGAGCGAGAGAGAGAGAGAGAGAGAGAGGAAGAGAGGAAGAGAGAGAGAACCTGCTTCTGAAAATATACTATATATAAGAAAACTGGGCTGGAGCCATGACTCACTGGTTGCTCTTACAGCTCGATTCCCAGTACTCACATGGTGGCTAACAACTGTCTGTAACTCCAGTTCCAGGGGATCCAACAGCCTCTTCTGACTTCCTCAGGACATTGCATGACACAGGTGCACTTACATACATGCAGACAAAACACTCAAACATAAAAATTAAAATAATTTAAAAATATTTTTTAAAAAAAATCATGTGCTGGAGATGGTCCAGGGATTAAGAGCACCGAGTATTCTTACAAAGGACCTAGGTTCAGTTTTCAGTACCTGCAGCTAAAAAACATCCCTAACTCCAGTTCCAGGGGATCCAATGCACTCTTCTGGCCTCCTTGGGCACTGCACACATGGGGGCGCTTACATACAAGGCAGGCAAAACACTCACACACACCAAATAAAATACATTTTTAAAAAGGAAACTAGCTAGCCTGGTCTACATAGCAAGTTCCAGGTCAGCTGAGGCTACGGGGCGACCCTGTCTCAAAAAGAGAAAAGAAAAGAAAATCATTACACTTTTTTTTCTAACATTACACTGTAAAAGAAGTGCTTCAGATACAAAGATGAAGAGGATATAGTCTTTGGCACTAAAAAAGTCTAATATGAAGGCTATGCAGATAATTGTAAAAACTTACTAAGCACTATAACAGCAGATATGCACTAAGCCAAGATCCATGTAGCCTGAAACCAGTATACATGTCTTCAAAATCTTTACATTTAGTACTGGGCCTGGCGCGCAGTCTGTGATCATGAATGAACACCATGGAAGAAAGAACACAAACAAAAGTCAGAGAGACTAAAGAGAGACCGGTGTTTTCATAAAGCAGGGACCATCTAACATAAGTCTAGCAAAGGGAACAAAAATGTACAAATCTTCTCTACAGGCAAAAGTGAACAAAGACATCAAAGCATACAATTTGCAAGTGACAAGCCTAGTACGGAAAGTCTCTGCAGATGACACTGCAGCTATACGCAAGGTCACATAATCAGGAGTATGAGAGCAGTTAAAGGGTTTTAAAGTGCAGCATGAGTATCTTTGTCATGAGCAGATAAATTTGAGAGAACTGAAGAATGAAAATTCAATTTCAGAAGTTACTGCTATAGTTGAGACAAATGAAGGTTGGATTTAAGGCCCAAAGTATGACCAGAGATTTATCCAGCACATTTGGTGGATCCTGATCACTTTCTGCAAATGAAGTTTACAGAACTGGTTGGTTACATAAGAGGGGAATTTGGGGCAAGCTATGCAGAGGTCATCTGACTCTTGAGGATGGCATAGATAATCTTCCCTCGCCTGTATCATAAACCGTATTTATGATCATTGCATTAATATACTCTTCGGCTATTTGCAGTGTTTTCATCTTTTGGAAACGGCCCATATTTGGGAAAGGCAATCAAACTAATTCAAGCTTCTTCTAACCCAATCTGGCATCCTTTGCCAGAAAACCCTATCCAGAATTTTGGGAAATCACACTACCCTAAGCCTAGAGACGGAAAAAGTGGAGTGTATTTCTATCTTAAGTTCTATCATGCTTGAAGTCTCACGCTTCGGACAAAAACTTAAGTCTCAAGAACTGCTTTCTAACAAAACCATCTTCGCTGGAGTAAAACGAGCCAGCGAAACTGTCTTCTAACAGGGAAGCAGCTAAGGCCCGCGGTGCGCAGGGCCGTATGGTGCCGGCCCCACAAAGCATCCCACACTCAGTTCTGGATTTCGGGGCCCGGTCACAGCCGAAGCGGAGGTGCAGCGCCCGGGACCCTGAGCAGCCACAGCACGCGCGGACGACAGTTCCCTCCCGGGCCACGCGCCCATTCCGCGTCTCCTCCCGCCGTCTCTAGAGCGTTGCTGCAGGGTCGTCTTTACCAAGACCCTCAAAGCAGAGAAAAGGCAGATAGCACTGTTACCTGGGCACTGCAGAGGTGACGACGCGACAGCGGAAACCTAGCTGAACAGCTACCAGAAGCCCGCCACCGCGACCCCGCTCGACCTCACCGAACGCTTGACGCGTTTTGATAGCGTCACTTCCGTCGGTTGCGCTCTCGACGTTGGCTAGTGGTTCCACCCAAAGCTTGGCCTGGGAAGCCGGGGCTGTAGGTCACTCCAAAAGGAAACAGGGGCGGAGCTTACCAGCAGTTCCGGGGTGGGGCTGCTTCGACAGTGCCCTTTCTGATTGGTTGTTGTCAAACTCCGGCGAAATACTGATTTTCTAAGCAGGGGAAGACTCTGGGTGTGTGGCGCTGGCAATTGAACCACGGCAATCGTTCGCCCACTGAGCTGCTTCCCCAGCCCTTCTGTTTTCAGTAGTAGTAATGTTGCCTTGGCTTCTGTAAAGCTGAATGATAGTGGTAGTAATTGCCTCCTAGATGCTTGTGAGATTGATAACATGAATGGCAAGCACTACTCCTTACCATGTTCACAGTGAGTCTTAATTCATGTCCAAACAACAAAAACAGGCAGCTTGCGGTCACAAATTCATTTACATTCTAACTTCGCTATTACCATCTCTCTTCTCTGCTGTCACAAGAACGTGCAGCTATTAATTAGGCTGTTTATTAATGCTTGACTCCAACATATTTTGATTTCTTCATTCAGTGGTTCATCTAGGCATGTGTATATGTTGTGCTGCTCCCTTGTCTTTGTACCGTCAGTGAAGTAATGAGCTCCTTAAGGATAACTTTTTTTTTTTAGTGCCCTGGACAGTACCTGTATGTATAGAATGTTAACCTATGCATAAACTCTTTCCTCCTAAATTACACATTCTCTCCTGGAGGGAAGAGAGAAGCTCAAAAGATTCAGGAAACTAAGGAAACTTACAAGGTTCGGGAAGCTCAGAAAGTTACAAGATTCCCAAGGTCCTTCCCCCAAGGTTATTTACACAGTGAACAAGAGACTCCTGACTGCAAGATGTTCAAAGAGCTCCAGGTACATAGCTTTCATGAATCGTAACACATAACACACAGGAGTGGGATTTTTGTGATTCAGCTGCCTTCAAGTCATTTATGCGCTGGTAAGTAACCCACGAAAAACTCTTTGGTTCACCTAGCTAGATTTGGGTGAAATAATTTCTTTGACCTGTTGGTGCTGCATTAGCGGTAAACAGATGTGAGTACAGGTTTCCCTAGGAAGTGTCACACAACAAATACTATATTTCTCTGTCCATTACTATTTTTACATTTATTTATTTATTTACTTTATTTATTCACTTTATTTACTATTTATTTATTTATTTGTGTGTCTTTGTCTATGGGCACACCATAGCACACATGTGGAGGTCAGTTTACAGGAGTCATTTCTCTCCTACCAGGGATTGAACTCAGGTTGTCAGGATTGGTGGCCAGTGCCTTTATTCACTGAACAATTTTGCCCAGCAATCTGTCCATAGGATTTTAAAGAAAATCCTTTGTTTCATTCTTTGTTCAGAGTAAAACATAACGAGAATTAAAAAAAAAACAAAAAAAAAAACATTTTCTTGTTCCATAATTGAAGGTGCACATCAAGCAATTTCCCTACATTAGCCAGTTACCTGCTTCCCTGTTATAAAAGGATGTCCGTGTAAGAAAATGCATATAAACACATACAGCTAAAGAAGTAATGAAATAAACAGCATTATCACAACATTCCTTCCAAATCCTGAACAAACAGCCCCTTCCTGCTCATCTGCTCATTTTATATTGTATAAAAGAGTTATGTAGTGATTTGTTGTCTTTGGTCAACTTCTGGAACTTGCTATGGAGACCAGGCTGGCCTCGATTTCACAGGCCCACCCACTTCTGTCTCCCGAGTGCTGGGATTAAAGGCGTGCCCCACCACGTCCGGTAAATTGATCAGTCTTTTAACATTTTATCGTCTAACAGTGAATTAGTGTGTTTTCTTTACACCTCCGCCAGCCTTCTTGGAATAAACAGGTGGCTCCGTGATCGCGCCTGCTGAGGAGGGCCTAGACCTCCAGGAGCATAGAGGAGTGCGAGCTAGAGTAACCCTGGGAGAAGCGGAAGCGGCGCCATCTTGCCGTGAGACAGCAGGAGCTAGCGCGATGTCTTCCTCTGCTGCCTACTGGGGTCCGTGCCGAGAGCTGGGAACCGGGCCTCACGGCTCCGCGGGCCCTGTGCAGCTACGCTTCTCGCCCTACGCCTTCAACGGAGGGTAAAATTCCGGGTCTGCCGCGCTCACCTTGGCCTCGCCTCGGTCGCGCTGGGGTCGGTGCGGGATAGCGGGGTGCAGCCTCTGGGGTTCGCCGCAGCCGGACAGGGCGTGGACGTCCGTAGTGCGGCTTGCTGCAGCAGGACCGGCCCGGTCCTTAATCCTCTGCTTCGTGGGCTTTCGTTTTCTTGGGGTTTGAACGTGTTTCTAAAGCTGAGAAGCGAGGTTTTTATTAGAACTTGAAAGGACTGGTTGTCCCGGTTGTTAAATGCCTATTGCCTAGCCGTCTGATTATTTGTTGTTTCAAATAGAAAATGAGATTGGTTAGCAAGACTTAAATTTCGTAGGTCAACCCCCACCCACTTCTGTCTCCCGAGTGCTGGGATTAAAGGCGTGCCCCACCACGTCCGGTAAATTGATCAGTCTTTTAACATTTTATCGTCTAACAGTGAATTAGTGTGTTTTCTTTACACCTCCGCCAGCCTTCTTGGAATAAACAGGTGGCTCCGTGATCGCGCCTGCTGAGGAGGGCCTAGACCTCCAGGAGCATAGAGGAGTGCGAGCTAGAGTAACCCTGGGAGAAGCGGAAGCGGCGCCATCTTGCCGTGAGACAGCAGGAGCTAGCGCGATGTCTTCCTCTGCTGCCTACTGGGGTCCGTGCCGAGAGCTGGGAACCGGGCCTCACGGCTCCGCGGGCCCTGTGCAGCTACGCTTCTCGCCCTACGCCTTCAACGGAGGGTAAAATTCCGGGTCTGCCGCGCTCACCTTGGCCTCGCCTCGGTCGCGCTGGGGTCGGTGCGGGATAGCTGGGTGCAGCCTCTGGGGTTCGCCGCAGCCGGACAGGGCGTGGACGTCCGTAGTGCGGCTTGCTGCAGCAGGACCGGCCCGGTCCTTAATCCTCTGCTTCGTGGGCTTTCGTTTTCTTGGGGTTTGAACGTGTTTCTAAAGCTGAGAAGCGAGGTTTTTATTAGAACTTGAAAGGACTGGTTGTCCCGGTTGTTAAATGCCTATTGCCTAGCCGTCTGATTATTTGTTGTTTCAAATAGAAAATGAGATTGGTTAGCAAGACTTAAATTTCGTAGGTCAACCCTTTTTTTTTTTTAACATTTCCTTTTAAAGTTGAGGGAGAAAATAAAGGGTGTTCTGTTTATGGCCTGCTGGACAGCTTCTCTGTTGGTCTGCATCCCCAGCCCTTCGTTGCTTGTTTGTTGGCTCATTTTTTAATTACTCGCTTTTTTCTAAGGAATGTTTTTCCATAGAATTTAGGACTTTTGTTAATGAAGAGCTGTAAACGGATACAGCTGTTATAGTTCATCAAACTTTATGCATTAAAGCATACACTGCCAATTCTAAAAAAATGTTGCTTCTTAAGAAAACCATTTAATTATATCTTTGTGAATATTGAATATTGGGTATACAGATTGATTTTAATCTTGATTGTGCCATTTGAAGAGCAAACATTTGGGTTCCTCTCAGTTTCTTGAGCTCTTAGTTTGGGGAAGAGTCAAGAGAGTTACATTTTGTATGCTGTAAGCAGTTACCTTATTTAACTGTACAGTTAAGTGAATGTTTCCTTTCCTGTCTTAGCCGCATGGGACTCATGGTATTCCAACAGCCCTGGTCACATAACCGGTGTGAATTAGAACCAGTATTTAAATTAATATCCCTTCAGCCTTGAGTTTCTGTTTGTACTTCTTAACATTGTGATAACTAAGTACATTGTACAATGTGCTGTTCAGTATGCGGTACTCATTACTCACTTTTTATTTAAGATATTACTGTCATCATATTACTTACAGCCCTCCAATTTTTGAAAAATATTCTATGTGTATGAGTGTATTGCCTGCATATATGTAAGTACTCCCATGTTGTGCAGTGTCCTCCGAAGTCAGAAGAGGGCATTGGATCCCCTGGGACTGGAGTTATGGACAGTTGTTAGCTGCCATATGGGTGCTGGGACTTGAACCCAGGTCCTCTGCAAGAGCAGTCAGTGCTCTTAACCACTGAGCCTCTCTCCAGCCTCAGTCCTCCAATTATTAAATTACCCTTTCTCTGTTCTTTTTGCTCTTTTTAGCATTTATTGCAACTGGCTGGCTTTCCAGCAGCCTCTGCTTCTACAAAATGAAATTCATTTCTCTTAGTCTGTAGCTTTCAGGTTTTGTCATAGGGCCCTTACATGTCTCATCCCTGGGAGCATAATTCCTAAGTCTGTTTTTCCAATTTTAGCTCCTATAAGTCCCCTCAGTTCTGAATTCTTCAACAAAATATTTACAACTGGATTTTCTGTTCTTACCATAGCTCATGTTAGTAAACAAAACAAGGAAGCCGATTATTTCTCTCAGTCATTTTTGGTCCTTAAAAAAATATTTCATGTAATTAGGTCATCATTCTGCTTATCTCAGTTTAAAGTCAGAAATGTTGTATTAGTTTTTTCCACTTAACACATTTAGATACTTGGGAAAGCTTGTTCGTTTTTATACTTTTTTTTTTTTTTTTTTTTTTTTTTTTTTTTTTTTTTGAGTGTGTCCTTTTTTTCTCTGTATCATGCCTCCTTTCTGTTACATGAGTCTTACTGGAACAGTATTTATGCCACATTTAACAAAATGGCAGGATTTCACATATTGTCAGATTGTCTTAAAACTTCATTTTGCAAATGGAACTTTTCTCATTCTTCTATAGCTTTTCAGTACTGCTTGCCAAAATTCTAAATCTACTTTGGCATTTGGGATTTTTTACAACAAAGTTCCTGTCCATCACATAAGGAGTTTATCTCTCTTTACACAAACAGAACTGTCTGAATTAAGTTGCTTAAATGTATTGTAATTTTTCAAAACTTTCGTTGCTGTTCATAGTATTTGGAATACCATTCTTTTCTGCTGTCTAGCTTTAGTACAAATCTTGTCTCAGTAAGAATAGTAGCTAATGTTTTCTGAATGTTTATATTCTGTGAGGAACTGTACTAGGTACTTTGTGTGAATTGTGTTTAATTCTCATGCTCACTCTGTCACACAACTAAGTGGTAGGAGTTGGTTTCTGCCTCAGATAATTCAAGAGCCCACATATTTTGTCATCACATAGTACTTCCTACTCTCAACAATCATTGCTCACTCACCAGAAGACCAGTTATACACGAGGCAGATGTCATGAAGACTTTACAGTTGTACTAATTTAATCCTTATAGCACCCTAATATGAAATAGTTATTGTTATAGTCTCTATTGTGTATTTGAGGAAATTGAAGCCTTCAGAAGTTAAGTAACTTGTGGGTAGCCTCATGCTAACTAGGGGAGCAGCATTATGATCCAGGTTAGGGATTTTTTAAGATGACTTGTAGTCAGGGATCCTCCCTGTGCAACCCCCACCCCCCACTTTCCTCTTCCATTTGAGTCCCACTGTTACATCTAGTAGACTACCCAGTATGTCCTGTGGAGCACACTCATTTAAAGAGACAGGATTGTCACCCTGAAGAACTAATTAAATTTTTTTCTTTTTTGTTCCTTAGTACTGTACTGGCAATTGCTGGAGAAGATTTTTCAATTGTTGCTTCTGATACTCGATTGAGTGAAGGGTTTTCAATTCACACCAGAGACAGCCCCAAATGTTACAAATTGTAAGTAAATCTTTCTAAAGATACATTTCACTTGCTTTTGGGATGACTTAACTGCAGCATGAGATTCCATTTGTTGAAGCAGTTTATTTAGTGAGGTTTTAGGTTGCCTCTTTGAAGCTTATTGTGCATTGTACTAGAAAACATTTTTTAAAATATTTATATGTATGAGTGTTATGCCTGCGTGTATGTAAGCGCACCCATGTCATGCAATGCGCGCGGAGGACAGAAGAGGCTGTCAGATCCCCTAGAACTGGAGTTACAGACAGTTGTTAGCTGCCATGTAGGTGCTGGGATTCGAACCTGGGTCTTCTGCAAGAACAGTCAGTGTTCTTAACCTCTGAGCCATCTCTCTAGCCCCTAGGAAACATTTTTTAAGTGTTTACTAAAAATTGAATGTGCAGTCTATATTTACCATATCTAGGTACCTATCTCCAAGATTTCTGGTATCCTCAAAGTTTGTACCCCAGCACTTTATCATCATTTTATCAGTTCAAGTGTGTGTATGCACTGAGCCCACCGTTTTTCCTAATGAACCCACTTTCCCAGTAATAGCATCCATGGAGGTTCTGTCTCATAATTGCCACTTCCCAGTACCATCACCATGGCAAGTAAATTTCAGAGTGGGTTTTAGGAATTTGGCAGTAGCAAAAGAGTACAACTACTCATATACCCTTGGCTAAGAAACAGTCCTACTTACAGAAGAAGGTCATCCTATTCAACCAAATGCTTAGCTCAGAAGGGATGTACATGGAATTGTGAAGTAGGCACCTGTCTTGTCAGCCTGACCAGCCAGCATTCCCAGATATCAGTAGGGTAGCATTTATCATAGCCAGCCGGATTGCCCTCACATCCTTAGCCTGAGTTTTGGAAGGGACATTCAGAGCATTAGCAGTATTATCTGTTAAGTTTCGTCGTGTTGATGTTGTCGTCCATCGTCGTCCTTCCCTGCCCCTCCCCACCAAAAAAAAAAACCCTTGAATTTAGATGTATCCTAAACAGTTATATTCCATTGCTTACAGAGTTGTTCTTTTTTTATCCTATTTATTTTGGTTTTGAAACACTCTCACTAGGTGGCCTAGGCTGGCCTCAAACTGAATTTTGCTCTGTCTCCCAAGTGTTGGGATTATAAAAGTATTGGGATTATAGGCATGTGCTACCACTCCCCAGTGCTCATAGTTTTAATGAGCTTCATAGTATTTTTTTCATCTAAAAGGTAGGCAAATAAGACCATATGTGCCCTATCTGTGTGCATAGTCTAAATATAGCCTTCAGATTAACAGTTGTTTGTATTTGACAGTTTTGGAAATAATCACAAAACCCTGTTAAAATTGAATTAAAGTGGAAATGGGGACCAAGAGGGCCTGGATTCTTTGCATAGGGCTTTAAAGTGATGTGGGGAAAGGGTTAGGAAGGCAGCTTTGTCATGTTTCCTAGTCCTAGGCATGGCCCATCTCTCACCACCAGAGACAGTCAAGGTTGTCTTCATCTTTCCAGTTCCCTCGTACCCAGTTTTTCCATAATTGGATGCTCCTTTCTCCTCTCTACAAAAAGCTTCCCTTATTACCTTTTTAATACCTTTTAGAATTTGAGCACAGTAAATTAAAAAAAAATTTTTTTATGTATATGAGTGTTTTGCCTGCAGAAGCCAGAAAAGGGAGTCAAATTTCCCTGGAATTGGAGTTACAGACAGTTGTAAGCTACCATCTGGGTACTGGAAGTGGAACCTCGGTCCTCTGCAAGAGTAGCCAGTTCTATTAACTACTGAGCCACCAGAAAAAATTTAAAGCATGATGGCCATCCTTGGGTGAATGCTGGCTCATCATGGTAGCATCTGTTGCATGTGTACTGCAGAAGTTCAGGTTAGGGAACTGCCAAGATGGTTTTGCTTTTTCAGTCTAATCAAGTCAGTTTCCTGAAATATATTTTTTACAGAACAGACAAAACGGTCATTGGTTGCAGTGGTTTTCATGGAGATTGTCTCACTCTGACAAAGATTATTGAAGCAAGATTAAAGGTAGGTGCTTTTGTACATGTTTACCCTGTTCAAACAATTCACAAGACTCTTCTAAGCTGCAACGCAACTATTGTAGCTAGAGAGAAAGCAAGTTAGCTGGTGGAGCTAACATAACCTAGAAATAAAGTAATACCAACACTGGACCTTCAGTCACGTAACAGGAAGCAGGAAACCACAACACATTCTGTCTTCTAAAACCTTAATACTCGGTAAGGATTTTCTACCTTGTAGAAAGGTAGTCTGGGGATTCTTCTGAAACTTCTCTTTCTGAAGTATTATTAAGTCAGGCTATGGCAGGAGATAGCTCAGGCAACCTGTAGACAGGAACATGATTTGGAATGCTACCTGCTGACTCTCCCTCTTCACACCCTTATACTTGCAGTAGAAAGAGCACAGGAATGGGAAGAAACAAGTTTGGACCATGGGTGAAGGGGATAGCCTGTCATATGGCAGGCTTCTTCAATAGCCACCTGAGAGATGATGTGATAGGAGTGTCTTAAGAGGGTGGTCACATTCTGTGTTGCCTGATTGTATCACTTAAGGTACATTGTCACTGGAATAGATAGACATTTACTTAACTGACACTTTGCTTTGGGCTTTATAGAATGATTTTACTCTATTTGTTGTATTTTTAAAAAACCTTTAGTTATGTTGAAAATTTCAGAAATTTACATTGATTAGCAGATATATATACCATGACTTCTAATTCATATTTTATTATACTTAAGCTTGGAAAGAAATTCTTCTGTAATTAATTTACCTGTTTCATGTAGTATAGCTTATTTGTAATTTTCAGTTTTTTTATTTTCTTTATTTATTTTGTGAGTTTGTGTGTTTGTTGGCATGCATGTGCCACTACATATGTGAAGGTCAGAGACCAACTTTTAGGAGTCAGTTCTTTCTACCATATGGGCCCTGGGATTGAACTCAGGCTGTCTAGCTTGCTGGCAGGTATCTTTACTGACTGAGCCATCCTGCTGCTCCGTGTTTTTTTTGTTTTTTGTTTTTTTTTTTAACAGGGTCTCCCTAGTCCTAGCCCCCCTGGAACTGACTATGTAGACTAGACTGGCCTCTGTCTCACAGAGAACCACCTGCTTCTGACTCCTGAGGCCTGGGATTAAAGGTGTGCGCCACTAAGCCCAGTGTTAATTTTTAAGTATTTTGACCCTTATTTAAAAGTATTTCCTAGAAATTTAGAAATGCTTGCTATGTGACTAACAAATTGGTGAACCTAAATTCATTTTATGTTCAGAATTTTCTTTTTATTTTTTTGATAATTTAAGGATCCTAAGGATTTGGTATATGAGGATTATGAAATTTCTATTTGCCAGGCTAAGATCTCCTGGGGTTTGTTTTGTTTTGTTTTGATTTGGGGGGAGGGTGTTGTTTTGTTTTTCTTTCGAAGACAGGGTCTCCCTGTAGCCCTAGCTTGCCTCAATCTCACAGAGATCCACCTGCCTCTACCTCCAGAGTGCTGAGATTAGAGGCATGCACCACCACACCCAGCTTAAGATCTGGTGTTTTCCCTTGTAGACAATTTGAGAAACAAGACTACTGCTGTGTATTAGAATCCTGTGGAATGAAGGTGGATGATCAGATCATATAGGAGTTTACAAGAGGGAGCCGAAATGGCTTTCATCTGTCAAAGACCAGATATTAAATATTTTCAATGGCTATTCAGTTTTTCTCACAACTACCCAATTTTGCTGTTGTAATGAGGAAGCAGCCATAGACAACATGGCTACGTTCCAGGAAATTTTCATTCACAGAAGGAGTCTGTAGGTCAGATTTGGCTTCTGGGCTATGGTTTGTTGGCATTCTTCAGGATGCATAGTGCAGGGAAGAGATGCATTTGGAATGTCTTCCCCAGGTCATTTAACATATCCTGCTTGTGCACATTATTCTTGAATAAGTAGTGCCTGAAATGAAGGAGGCAGGGAAAATGAGCTCAGTAAATGGTAAATTTACAATTCTTTTTCTTAAAATTTTTTAAAGATAAATATATTTTTAAATATTTTTTTTATTTTATGTGTATGCATGTATTGCCTGCATGTAGGTAAGTGCACCCCTGTCGTGCAATGTCCACAGAGGACAAAAGAGGCTGTTCCCTGAAACTGGAGTTACAGACAGTTATTAGCTGCCATGTGCGTGCTGGAATTTGAACCAGGGTCTTCTGCAAGAACAACAGGTGTTCTCAACCGTTGAGCCATCTCTCCAGCCCCCAGATTTTTTAAAGATATATTTTATGTGTATGTGTGTCTGAGAATATGTATGTGCACCATGTATGTGCAGAAAAATCACATTGTGTATATATTTGTTTATGTGTATGTGTGCATGTGCCACAACATAATGTGGAGGTCAAGAGACAACTTGTGGGAGTTGGGTATCTCTTTCCACCTTGTGGGGCCCAGGGTTCAAACGCCGGTCATCAGACTTGGATTCAAGCATCTTTACCCATTGAGGCATCTTGTAGGCTCATTCCCCTTAAAATTCTTAGAGCTGTTCTATGAGACTTTTTAATTTTTTTATTGAATTTTTGTGATTGTCATATGATATAATTTGATGGTATTTAGATCCCCTCCCCTCTTTGCCCTTCTCCCCACTTCCTCCTAATTTAATGTGTTCCTCCTCTTTTTTTGGTCTTTTTTGAAACAGGGTCTCCCTGTAGCCCCAGCTGGCCTAGAACTCACTATGTAGACCCGGCTGGCCTTTAACTCATAGAGATCCACCTGCCTCTGCCTCCCAAGTACTGGGATTAAGGTATATGCCACCACGCCCAGCTAATGTACTCAGTTTTGGTTTTGTTTTGTTTTGTCTTGTGTACTCTTATATATACATAATATGGCCTATAGAGTCTGATTCGTGTCCCCAAGTGTCCTTCATGTGGGTCAATCCACTGGGCCCAGCTAGAGACCCATCGCTGTAAGACGCTATCTACTCTACACACACACCAGCCATCAACTGCCAACAATTCCTTAAGTTGGGATTTGGGATTTCTTTTTTTTTTTTTTAATGTATTATTTTATTTTATGTATATGAGTGTATTGCCTGCATGTGTGTAAGTACACCTTTGTCATGCAATGCCTGCAGAGATCAGAAGAGGGTGTCAGAGCCCCTGGAACTGTAGTTATAAACAGTTGTTGGTTGCCATGTGGGTGCTGGGAATCAAACCCAGATCCTTTTCAAGAGCAGCTTTCTCTTAACTGCTGAGTCATCTCTCCAGCCTGAGTTTGGATTTTTTACCCACTTCCCCATGAATATACTTGAATTTTTTCTGATTTGAGCTTGCGTAGGACTTGTACATGATGTCACCATTGCTGTGAGTTCATATGAGTAAGTGACCAACTGTCTTGAAGACTTTTCTAGTGGTCGTCCACTCCCTCTGGCTCTTACACTCTTTCTGCCTCTCTTGCAATGATTCCTGAGCCTTGAGAGGCAGACTTTGGAAATAGGTGTCCTATTCAGGGATAAGTACTCTGTGGCCTCTTGTTCTCTGCACATTGGCCAATTGTAGGTTTCTGTGTCAGTCACCATCTGCTGCATAAGGAAACTTCATTGTCCAGAGTTGAGAGATGTATTCATCCTATATGTAGAGGTTGCATTGAAGATGTGTCACTTAAGGTTAAGTGTTTCACAAACAACTTATGTTGTGCATTTGACCAGTTCTGGAACTCTGTAATAATCTCCATGTGTTACAAAAAGAAGCTTCTTTGATTGAGGGGTAAAAGGTACATTTGTCTGTAAATTATGAGAATGCATATCTAGAATAAAGAAATCACATTGGTCTAGGGATGTGGCAAAAGTGGGTTTTTCTCTAGGATATATGGCCTCCAATCCATGTGTATTTGGCTATGTTTACAGTGTCACACGTGTTCCCTTCCATTGAGTGAGCCTTAATTCCAATTAGAGAGCCGTTGATTACCCCCAAAATTAAAGTGCCATTACTGCACAAAACAATAGTTTGCTGGACCAGTCATTGTTATGTTTATTAGACTTTACACCTGGGTAGGACCAGCTGTAAGGGTAGGTTTTCTCCCTTGGCAGCTTATATAGTATCCTGATACCATGAGACCTAGTCTTCAGGGAGGAGGCTTCCAGGTCAGTTCCAGCTAGATTACTACATGTCCTGTGTCCAAAGGATGTTCTGTCTTCAGCAGTAGGGGCTTACCTTCAAGTTCTGGGAGGCAATCAAGATCTGTGGCAATAGCCTGTGTTATTTTGGGAGTCTCTTAGACTATCCTGACCAGCAGCTTGAAGGGAGGTTTCTTCTGACTGGAACTATTTTTTTTTGTTGTTATATAGCTTTCAGCTATATACAAGCACTCATATATTTAATGTTTTTATATATTTATTTTTAGTAGGACTTTGAACTAATAAATTTTCCTCTGGTTTTTCATACCATCTAAACATTTATTTCTCTCTCCTCTTATCCCCCCTGTATAACCCTCTACTTTCTCCCCAGTTAAAGTGCCCCCTACCCCATTTTCATTCAATAACACCTCTCTCCTACTGTCCCCCTCTCTTGAGCTCCTTCTTCCCTTTCACCCCCTTGGTTCCTTTCCATTTTTCTCGCTCCCGTGGTTATATCAGGAAATATACTCATATCTAGGAATTTGGAGCTAAGATCCACAAATGAGAGCGAATGTATGTCACTTGTTTTTCTGCGTCTGTTACTTTACTTAGTATAACAGTTTCTAGTTTCTGTTTAAGCTGTTGCTCTCGGTTTAACTTTGGTGGTTCCATGAATTTAGAAATACATCTATTTCTTTTAGATTTAAAATTTTTAAAGGATAGGGACTGGAGAGATGGCTTAGCGGTTAAGAGCACTGACTGCTCTTGCAGAAGACCTGGGTTCGATTTCCAGCACCCACATGATGGCTAACAACCGTCCATAATTCAAGTTCCAGGGGAATCTGATGCCGCCTTCTGACCTGAGGGCATTGCACAGCACAGGGGCACTTACGCACATGCAAGTAACACGCTCATTCACATAAAATTAAAAAATAATATATTTTTTTTAATTTAAAGGATATAGGTTTTTAACACAGTCTGATCTTTTTGGTATCTGTTGTAATATTTCCCCTTTCGTCTCTGATTTTGTTGATTTGGATTTGCTCTTTTGTTTCATTAACTGGGCTAAGGGTCTATCTATCTTGCTTTTCTTTACAAAGAACCAGCTCTTAGATTCACTGATTCTTTGTTGCTATTTCATTAATTTCTGCTCTGATTTTTGTTATTTCTTCACATCTGCTGGGTTTGGGTTTGGTTTGTTCTAGCCTTTCTGGATTCTTGAGTTGTACCATCTGTGCTCTTTCTGATTTCTTTTTTCTGTTTTTTTGTCTTTTTGAGACAGTTTTCCTGTAGCCTCAGATGGCCTGGAGCTCACTATATAGTCCAGGCTGGTCTTTAATTCACAGAGATCCACCTACCTCTGCAGGTGCTGGGACTAAAGGCATGTACCACCAGGCCCGGCTCTTTTCGGATTTCTTAAAGTAGGCACTTAGAGCTACGAGTGTCCCTATTAGGACTGCTTTTAATGTGTCCCAGAGGGTTTGTTGAGTTGTAGTATCACTTTCATTTGGTTCCAGGAATATTTTTCCTTTCTTGATTTCTTCTTTGAGCTATTCATCATTTAGGAGTGTGTTGTTTTTATTTATTTATTTATTTTTGCTATTGATTTTAAGCTTTGTTGCGTTGTGGTCTGATAGAATTCATGGAATTATTTCAATATTTTTGTATTTGTTGAGGTTTGTTTTGTGTCCCAGTATGTGGTTAATTTTAGAGAAACGTCTATGGGCTGCTGAGTAGAAAGTGTATTCTTTGGTGCTTGGGTGGAATATTCTGCAGATGTTTGTTAGGTCCATTTGATATATGGTATCATTTAGTTCAGATGTTTCTCTGTTTAGTCTTTGTCCAGTTGACCTGTGTATTGGAGAGAGAGGGGTACCGAAGTCACCTACTATTACTGAGTTGTAGTTAATCTCTTGAAGTCCAGTAGTACTGTTTTTATGAAATGGGGTACAGGAGAGTTGGCACATACATATTCATGATATGTATAGTCTTCTTGGTTGATTGTTCCCTTGATCAGAATGAAGTGACTTTCTTTATCTCTCTCTTTTTTAAAAATTCATTTATTTTTTTAATTTATGTGTGAGTGTATTGCCTGCATGTATGTAAGTTTTGTGCAGTCCCCACAGAGGTCTGAAGAGGGCATCAGATCCTCTGGAACTGGAGTTCCAGATGGTTGTTAACCGCCATTTAGGTGTTGGGAATCAAACCTGGGTCCTCTGCCAGAGCAGACAGTGCTCTTAATCACAGAGCCATCTCTCTAGCCCCTTACGTCTTCTGATTAATTTTAACTTGAAGTCTGTCTTGTCAGATATTAGAATTGCATTAAATATTAGAAATGCCTGCTTATTTCTTAGTGCCATTTGCTTACAATATTTTTTTTCCGTCCTTTCATCTAAGGGAGTTTTTTTTTTAATGATTTTTATGTGTATGAGTGTTAATGCCTGCATGTTTGTTAAGTGCGCCCGTGTTATGTAGTTCCTGTGGAGGACAGAAGAGGTCATTGGATCCCCTGATACTGGAGTTACAGAGAGTTGTTAGCTGCAGTGTGGGTGCTGTGATTCAAACCCGGGTCTTCTGCAAGAACAGCCAGTGCTCTTAACTGCTGAGCCATCTCTCCAGCCCCAAGAGTTTCTTGTAGACAACAGAAGGATGAATTTTTGTTTCTTAATTCATTCAACTAGCCTGTGTCTTTTCACTGCGAGTTGAGGCCTTTGATATTTAAAGTTATTATTGAAAGATGTATATTGGTTATTGTCATTTTATTTTATTCTTTTTTAACATTTTACTTATTTTATGCGTATGAGTGTATTACCTGTATGTGTGTAAGTACCCATGTTGTGCAGTGCCCACTGAGGTCAGAATAAGGCGTCAGATTCCCTGGAACTGGAGCTACAGATGGTTGTTAACCACCATGTGGGTGCTGGGAATTGAACTCAGGTTCTCTACAAGAGCAGTCAGTGCCCTTAACTGCTGAGCCATCTCTCCAGTCCCCATTACTGTCATTTTAATTTCTGTTTGTATTTTTTTTTTTTTTTTGAAGCAGGGTCTCCCTGTAGCCCCAGCTGTCCTGGAACTCACTATGTAGACCAGGCTGGCCTTGAACTCACAGAGATCTGCCTGCCTCTGCCTCCCAAGTGCTGGGACTACAGGTGTGCGCCACCACGCCTGGCTTCTGTTTGTATTCATGTGTATGAATGTATTGCCTGCATGTATGTAAGGCACCCATGTCATGCAGTGCCTGCAAGGACAGAAAAGGCTGTCAGATCCCCTGGAACTGGAGTTACAGACAGTTGTTAGCTACCATGTGGGTGCTGGGATTCAAACCTGGGTCTTCTGCAAGAACAGCAAGTGTTCTTAACTGCTGAGCCATCTCTCCAGCCCCTCTGTTTGTATTCTTGATACGGTTTTGTGTTTCCTTAATTATACTCCATTTATTTTCTTTCTGTAGCCTCTTGGATATGGTCATTCCTTCAGTTCTTTGTATTGCTTTGACTATTCTCTGTAGGGCTGGTTTGGTGGACATTAATTCTTTCAGCCTATTCGTGTCATGGAAGATTTTTCTTTCTCCTCCAATGAAGATAGACAGTTGGCTGAGTAAAGTATTCTGGGTTGGCATTTATGATCATTTAGAACTTGGAATACTTTGTTCTAGGCTCTTCTGACTTTTATAGTTTGCATTGAAAAGTCAGCTATAATCAGATGGATTTTCCTTTATATGTTACTTGTTCTCTTGCAGCTTTCAGTGTGTTCTCTTTGTTTTGTACATTTAGTGCTTTTACTGTGATATGCCATGGGGAGTTTCTGTTCTGGTCCTATTTGGTATTCTGTATCCTTCTTGCATCTGTATGGGTATGTCCTTTATTAATTTAGGGAAATTATCTTCTATAGTCCTGTTGAAGATCTGGTTAATGCTATTGACTTTGGGCTCTTCTTCCTCTGTTCCTATGATGCATAAATTTGATCTTTTCATGATGCCCACACTTCTTGCATGGTCCATTCCCATTTTTTTTTTTGATTTCTCATATTCTTTTCTTGACCTGGAACTGTGTAGAACAGGCTTGCCTGGAACTCTCTCAGAGTTTTGTCTGCCTCTGCCTCCTGAGTGCTGGGATTAAAAGCGTGTGCCACCACACCCAACTTCTCTGTTTTTATTTTATATTGGAGGGACTGCATGGATCCAGGCAGTCTAGTCAGGAGTTCTCTAAGAAGGCAAAGGAGTCCTGACTAGTCAGGCACTCTCCCACAGCCTCAGCAGGATGGAGCCAAGGCCCAAGGACACGTGAGATTTTTCTCAAGGAGACTCAACACAACCATCTCTTCACCTGAGATATGGGACTAACAGACCAGAATAACGATTCTGTCAATCCTCCTTTACAAACCAAAGAGTTTATTGGTATTATTTACAGAAGAATGGGTTGAGGGATTAGTTACAAGAGCATAAATGACTGAAAAGCAGTTGTGTTACCAAAAAGCTCACCCCAGTATAGTTGACAACTCAGGAAAGCTGCTTCCCCGGAGCCCTCTACATGACGTACTGGTAGCTCAGTGGTGGGAGTCTCTTCTCAGCAGTCATTTACTGTTTCTATAACCTTGGAGAGAACCCTCTAGAATCTTGTTTAAGTTTTCCTAGAACTTGTGGGGTTTATTTATATACTGAGTCTTGTTAAGCCTTCTGCCTCTTTCTAGGAGGGACTGTTAATATTCTGAGAAAATTGCAACATGATAACAGGATCAAATGATATACTATCATTTTATGTTAATATTATTGTGTTACTTGGTCATGAAAGAAATAAAATTTCCTGTTTCACTGAGGCATGTCTTAACTCTGTACTGATTGACGTTGAAATTTGACAGGTTCTGCCTCTACTTACTTACTGTTTTTTCAAACCGTGCAGATGTACAAGCATTCCAATAACAAGGCCATGACGACGGGGGCAATTGCTGCGATGCTGTCTACCATCCTGTACTCAAGGCGCTTCTTCCCTTACTATGTTTACAACATCATCGGTGGACTTGATGAAGAAGGTAGTAGAGTTTTGCTTTCTAACAAGCTCAGGAATGGTATTTCCTAAATGTGTACATTTCTGCCTGGAGTTGAGCCATCTAGCCCAGCAGCTTCACTCTTTGATTATAAAAGTAGAAGAAACTGAAGCTAAGAGTGATAAATGACATAAGCACACAGCAAGTACTATATATGGTACTTGGTGAGCTGACGGTTATTTCTGTTTTCTCAGGATTTGGTATGTGTTGGTACTTATTAGCATTTAGCTACAGATCTGACCTACAGAGGTTTCACCTATGGTTGTATAACAAACAGTTGGTTCAAAAAATTCTTAAGATTAATTTCTTAGAAGTCATTTGGAGCTCAGCATGGTAATACATGCCTATAACCCAGCACTTAGGGCTCAGGAAGAAGAATTATGACCAGCATGGACTATACACCAAGACCTTGTCTCAAAAAAAGGTGATTTGGGATAATTAATATCCATACTTCCTATATAAATACCTATACTTGCCATAGTGTTCTTAGAATACCTCTTTGATTTTTTTTTTCTTTTTTTTTAGATTTTTTTTTTTTTTCATTGTGAGTATGTATGTGTATGTGTCAGGGGTATATGCACATGAGTTCAGGTGCTTGCAGAGGCCAGAGGTGTCAGATCCCCTGGAGCTGGTATTACAGGCAGTTGTGGGCTGCCCAAGTGAGTGCTGGGAATTGAACTTGGGTCTTCTACAATATGAATACATGCTCTTAACTGCTGAGCCATCTCTCCAGCCCACGCAATTTTGTTTTTTTAATGATTTATGTGTTTGAATGTTTTGCCTGCATGTATGTGTGTGCACTGCCCATGTGTCTGTGCTCATGGAGGTCAGAAGAAGGCTTTACATTCCCTGGAAGTGGAGTTACAGAAAGTCGTGAGCTACCATGTAGGTATTGGGAACCAAACCTGGATTCTTTTAAAGAGCATCAAGTGCTCTTAACTGCTGAGCCATCTCTTCAGCTCCCATTGTTGTTTTAAGATTGGAATGTCTTAAGAAAAATCAAGTCTTGTGACCTGACCTGTCTTTCCCTAACTCAATCACAGCAAGGGGTCTTGGAGATGGAGTATAGGTGAAATTGTGAGAAGTTTGGCTCATGGTTTGCCACATGACCAGCCCCTCCCTCCAGGGTACACTAGCTCCTATAGGCCTGATGCATGCTGCCTTCCTGGATTTCTTTGATCATCACCATGGGAATTCTTTGCCTTATCCCTGGTTTTGGGTTTGTTCTTCATGCTTTCTTCTTGGTTTATTTCTTTGTTTTGGAGGCATACATCTCTTGGATAGTTCTAGGGGAAAAAATGAGAGTACCATTTTGGATCTTTGTTAGATCTTCAGCTTGGTGTTTTGGCATTTCACAGTGATCATTTTCTCTACCTTTTCTCCTCCCACTCATTCTCTTCTGTTCCTCCCTATTATCTCCACAACTATAACTTTATTACCTAGTCTTATTTTTGCCCTCCATACCATCTTCTTGTTCTACTTTTTGAAGATTGCATCTTTTATTTCTGGTGTCTTTTTTTTTGTTGTTGTTCTTTTTGAGACAGGGTCTCCCCAGTAGCCCCAGCTGGCCTGGAACTCACTATGTAGACTAGGTTGGCCTTGAACCCACAGAGAACTGCCTGCCTCTGCCTCTCTAGTGCTGGGATCAAAGGCATGTGCCTCCACGCCTGGCTGCATTATCATTTTTAAGTCATGTCTTGTGAATGAGCCATGATTTTTTCTTTTTTTTTTTACATCCAAAATATGAGGTCATTTTTGGTTGGGTTTCGTTTTGTTTGTGTTTTTAAGATGGTTTCACTTTGTAACCTAGGTTGATAATGAATTTGTGATGACCCTCCTGCCTCAGCCTCTCAGGCTGGGATCACCACACTTGGCTTTACAGTTGTTTTAAAAAGGCCTTTTCTCAACAACCCTGACCCCAGTCTTAAGAGCATGTTAACTCATTCTCATTACTCAGAGGATGTTGAAAATATTAACCTGAGGCCAGGTGTGGTGGCGCTCGCCTTTAATCCAGCACTAGGGAGGCAGAGGCAGGCGGATCTCTGTGAGTTCAAGGCCAGCCTGGTCTACATAGTGAGTTCCAGGACAGCTGGGACTACAGGGAGACCCTGTCTCAAAAAGACAAAAAAAAAAAGAGAAAAGAAAATATTCACCTGTTCAGTAACTGAAACTAGCAGCCTGTTCAGGTCAGTTTTGACAAAGTAGAGGCAAGACTTGTACTTCTGCAACCTGGCTCCAGGGTTTGCTCTCTGACTTTTAGGCAATAGCTTTTGTTGTAAGTTCTATTTTTCTTTTCTTTTTTTTCTTTTTAAGACACAGTCTCCCTGTGGCCCCACCTGACCTGGAACTTGCAATGTAGACCAGGCTGGCCTTGAACTCACAGAGATCCACCTGCCTCTGCTTCCCATGTGCTGGGATTAAAGGCGTGCACCACCACTCCTGGAAAAGTCCTGTTTTTCTAAAGATTTTTAAGTTGCCTGTAATTTTTTTTTTAATACATTTAAAAAAAATTTTTATGTGTGTGCATATATTGTTTGCACGCAGATAAGTGCACCCGTGTCATGCAATGCCCGCGGAGGACAGAAGAGGTTGTCAGATCCCCTGGAACTGGAGTTAAGGACAGTTGTTAGCTGCCATGTGGGTGCTGGGATTCGAACCCGGGTCTTCTGCAAGAACAGTGTTCTTAACTGCTGAGCCATCTCTCCAGCCCCACTTGCCTGTAATTTTTTGTTCTTTTAAATAATACAGATATGTCTACTTTGCTTACATTTCCACATGTACTTGCAAAAACATTTTTTGGGGTAAGTCCTGTTCTGCAAGTGAAATTATTGCTGAGTCTTAGATTGATGCCAAATTGCTTTACCAGAAGACATCATTTGATGGCTTTAGTGAAGTCTCCAAGGACCACTGGTCTCTTGTGTTGAGTAGTTGTTACAGATTGGGGTTTTCTTTTTTATTAATTTTTTTTTTTTTTGGTCTTTTTGAGACAGGGTCTCCCTGTAGCCCCAGTTGACCTGAAACTCACTATGTAGACCAGGCTGGCCTTGAACTCACAGGATCCTCCTGCTTCTGCCTCCCGAGTGCTGGGATTAAAGGTGTGTGCCACCATGCCCGGCTTAATTTGTTATTTTTATTTTATGTGTATGAGTTATGCTGCATCTATGAAAGTTGCACCCATGTTGTGCAGTGCCCACAGAGGACAGAAGAGGGCATCAAATCATCTGGAACTGGAATTAACAGACAGTTGTTAGCCACCATGTACTTGGATTTGAACCTTGATCCTCTGCAAGAGCAGCCAGTGCTCCTAACTGCTGAGCCATCTCTCCAGCACCCATATTGGTTTTTTCTTACAAAAAAAAAAAAAAAGACATTCTGGTCCTGGTCCTGGAGAGAGATGGCTCACTCTTAAGATCACTTGCTGCTCTTTGTGAGAACCCATGTTCAGATCCCAGCATACATGTTGGATGGCTCACAACTGCCCGTGGCTTCAGCATCAAGGTATCTGACACCTTCTCGCCTCTGGGGGCACCCGTACACACACCTCTCACTCATTCACAGATACAGATATATACACATGAATAAAAAATGATTAATCTTTTTTTTTTAAGTTATTCCTTATCATTCCAATAAGTCAAAGCAAGCTATAAACATTTGGGGCAAACTGAATCTTTGTTTGTTGAGACAGGGTCTCTGTATAGCCCCAATTGCCTGGAACTCTATGTAGACCAGGCTGGCCTCTATCTCACGGAGATTTGAATGCTGGGATTAAATAGAATTTCTTATAGGTATCATTTGTGTTGTTCTGAAATCCTTTTATTAAATAATTATTAAAATTAAATTTGATTCGGTGGTGGTGGTGGAGTATGTTTGAGAAAGGTTTTCACTTAGCTGAGGCTGGCCTTGAACTTACACCCTTCTGCCTCAGCCTTAACCATGATTTTTATAGTATGTCATAAAAGAGTATGCTTACTTAATAGTAAAAAGACATACACAGTAAGTTTTCTGTATTATCACCCACATTTAACACTAGGAAATTTTTTAACTATCAGGTCTATGCTAAAACTAGCTCATGTTTTAGGAATATCATGAGGACTTTGGGGCCCATGACCATTACCCAGTGCATCTGAACTGCCTGCATGTTCAGGGCCACAGGATGGTTGCCAGTGGCATTGTTCTAGGCCAAGTTGGATATAGTGTTATCACATTAAGATGTACACCTCTTGGCTCTGACTCTCTTCCATCAAAAGCAATCTGCTGGGATGAGCTGCACAACAGTATTCTGACCTCTGCCTAAAGTTTTAGCCATGTTTGCTAGTACAACAATGCATCATGCTTTGCTTATTTCTTTTCACAGTGTTCTTATGTAGACTCTTTTTCTTCTTTAAGGAAAGGGAGCTGTGTATAGCTTTGACCCAGTGGGCTCCTACCAGAGAGACTCCTTCAAGGCTGGAGGCTCAGCAAGTGCCATGCTGCAGCCCCTGCTTGACAACCAGGTAATATACCTGAGCCTCTGCCTGTGGCAGCCCACATGGCTGTGGTGACTCAGAGACCTCTATTCTTCCCTCCAGTTTTCATTCTCTGAGTTACTTGAGCTTACATAACTGCCTTTTTATTACCCTTACCATTTCTTTATCTCCCAAGTGTGTGTGTGTGTGCAAATCTGGGTCCTCTGCAAGAACAGCCAGTGCTCTTAACCTCTGAACTCTCTCTCTAGCCCCATCTGCCTGGTGTTTTATTCTATTTTTCCTGGTGCTGGGAATTGACCTGAATGTCTCGCATGTTACTAGGGAAGAGCTCTGTCACTAAGCTATATATGTGTGTGTGTGTGTGTGTGTGTGTGTGTGTGTGTGTGTGTATGTGATAAATATCTGCTTCTTGTTCGTCTACCTCAACTCCCACACACTACCAGACCTTGCTTTTCCCTAAAATAATGTCTTCTCCTCTCTGATCCCACATCTTAGTCAGAAATGTTTGATGTTCTTCAGTTCTAATGCTCTTTAGCACTCACCTGCCCAAGGCCCTTTGCTGGAGCTGCCTTCTAGCATACTTAGTTGATGGGCTGTTTGGGGCTGTCCTGGCTTTTTCTTCTTAGCTATGACACTTTCATCTCTTGGAGTACCTGTGTCTACCTCAGTGTGCTTATGCTTCTTCAGAGTCGAGAGCTTTTCCAGATTTCTGTTGCGTTTCAGCCAGGACTAGAAGATCATTAGTCTGAAGGACTCCTAGTGTGGCCTGATGTATCCACTATAAATCCTCAGACATGAGAGGGACTGTGGGAAATTGGGACCTACCTTAGGTCTTACAGTCACATGACTCCTCATATGAGCCTCTCTTTCCAGGTTGGTTTCAAAAACATGCAGAACGTGGAGCATGTCCCATTGTCTTTGGACAGAGCCATGAGGCTGGTGAAAGACGTCTTTGTTTCTGCAGCTGAGAGAGACGTGTATACAGGGGATGCACTCAGGATCTGCATTGTGACCAAAGAAGGCATCAAAGAGGAGACCATTCCCCTGCGGAAAGACTAATGTGTGGGCCATACATTGGCATTGTTGCACAAGTTTGTTTATTAAAAGAAACCTGAAATACTCATTTTCTTATAATGTATATGTCTTCTTTAAGCATGATAGATATAGAAACAATATCTTCCTTTGGGGACTGGAGAGATGGCTCAGCAGTTACAAGAGCATACTACTCTTACAGAGGGACCCAAGTTTGGTTCTCAGCACCCATGTTAAGTGGCTTACAACTGCCTGTGACTCCAATTCCAGGATATCTGGTATCTGATGCCTTCTTTTGGCCTCTGCAGGCACCTGCACTCAAATGCACATACCCACACAGAAATGCACACATATATATACACACAATGAAAAATAAAATCTTTAATAAAAATTTTTTCCTGGGGCTGGAGAGATGGCTCAGTGGTTAAGAACACTTGCTGTTCTTCCAGAGGACCTAGGTTCAATTCCCAGGACCCACATAGCAACTAACAACCATCCAAAGCTCCAGTTCCAGGGGATCTGACACTGGCCTCTGTGGGCAGTGGTGGACTTTCATACATGCAGGCAAAACCCTCAATATACAAAATAAAATTAATAGGTAAAATATTAAGTATAATTTCCTTATCTGGGCATAAAAAATATGTATATGAATATTTTGCCTACATGTATATAAGTAGTACATCATGTACTTGCAGTGCCTGTAGAGGCCAGAAAAGGACATTGGATCCCCTGGAACTAGAGTTAAAGATGGTTGCTAGCTGCCATGTAGTGCCAGGAATTGAATTCTCATCCTCTGGAAAACAGCAAGTACTTAAACAATTGAGCCAAAAAATTTTTCTTTTTAATGTGTGAATGTATGTCATGTGTGCAGGTACTCATGGAGGCAGAAAAGGGTTTTCATTCTTCTGCAGCTGGAGTTGCAGGCAGTTGAGACCCACCTTATGTGTGTGCTGAGATCTGAACCCCAGTATGCTGGAAGAGCAAGACGTGCTCTTACCTGTTGTCCTGTCTCTGCACCCTATATTTTTGTATCTTAAGAATGAGGCGGGAGGTAGAGGCAAGCTGATCTCTGTGAGATTGCTGCCAGCCTGGTCTACAGATCAAGTTCCAGGCCAGCTGGAGAGACCCTCTCTCAAAAAGGCCAAAAAAGAAAAAAAAAAAAAAATGGGGCCAGTGATGGCTCAGTGGGTATAAAGGCACTTGCGGCCAAGCCTGATGTGGTTTTGATTCCCAGAACCCACCTGGTAGATGGTAGAGAACTGAGTTGTACAAGTTGTCCTCTGACCTCTACACATAAACAAATGTCTTAGTTATTACCCTGAAAGGGTTCCTTTCATGATTTTCTGTACTTGTTACCTAGATGAGCCATCCACAGCCCAAGATTATGTGTACATTGATATACTATCGGACACTGGGACATCCCTAGATTTACATCAGAATTACATGGCATTTGTCCAGGAGTGTCTCCTGGGGCTAACCCAGACCTGCTGTCCCAGTCTCAGGTCATGGTCATGAAAATCTGCATATTTAAAATACCCATGTGCTTGCTGTGTATACACAACTTGAGAACTCTCAGCTACTCAGCAGGCTGGTTTAACTAGCAAACCCTTAGGAAACATAAGATGGGATTTATTAGGGAATTGATCTCACATACAGGAGCTGTGTTAATCTGTGTGCGGCTGTTTATTTCTGTTGCTAGAGACTGAAGTACATGGCACAAGTAGTTAGGAATGGCTAGTGGTGGGCAGTGGGGTGGGAAAGGCTGTGCAGAGTTGGGAGAGCAGTGGTCACACTGAAGACAGTAGAGTGGGGAGAGCAGTGATAGCCAGTGGAGGATGGTGGTGTGAAGTGGGAAAACGTGTGGGGTGAGGAACAGAAACCTTAGAGGAAAGCTACTTACTGGCTTGGTTCCCCTGGGTTGCAGCTACTTACCCAGGCTAGGCCCACCAGCCCAAGGATAGTGCTGCCTTACAGTAGGCTGGGCCCTCCTTCAACTAGCAATCAAGAAAATGACCCCACAGATACACCTCAGGCCAGTCTGATAGAGGAAATTCCTCATACACATAAAATTCCTCAATTCCCAGGTGACTAGTTTGTGTCAAGCTGACAAAAACCAGTATAATTGACCCTTTGTCAGCTTGACACAGATACATCACTATTTTTTTTTAATTTTTATTTTATGTGTTGCGTGTATTGCCTGCATGTAGGTAAGTGCACCCATGTTGTGGAATGCCCATGGAGGACAGAAGAGGCCGTCGGATCCCCTGGAACTGGAGTTATGGACAGTTTTTAGCTGCCATGTGGATGCTGGGATTCAAACCCAGGTCTTCTGCAAGAACAGCCAGTGTTCTTAACCACTGAGCCATCTCTCCAGCCCCAGATACATCACTATTAAACCATAACCTTTCTTGTTTATCCCCCAAATCTTGTGCTAATATAATTTAAACACAGTCCAACTTAAAGTTCGACAGTCTAAAAAGTCCACTACCAAGCATGTCAGTGTCTCATGCCAAGCATGGTGGCACACACCTTTAATCTCAGCACTTGGGAGGCAGAGACAGGCATATCTGTGAGATACAGGCTAACCTGATCTTAGTTCCAGGTGGGCTGGGGCTAGGGAAACTAAAAAAAAAACAACTTTAAAATAATTAAAAGTCTTTTAACTGTGAGCTCTTACAAAAAACAAGTTAAATATTTGTTATTCCAAAAGGGTTTAAACCAGGGCATAAAAACAATCACACTTGGGGGCTGGAGAGATGGTTTAGTGGTTAAGAGCACTTGGTGTTCTTGCAGAGGACCCAGGTTCCATTCCCAGCATTCATATGGCAACTCACAACCATCTGTAACTCCAGTTCCAAAGGGTCTGATGTCCTCTTCTAGCCTCCTCAGGCACTGCATGCCTGTGATGCACTTACATTCAGGCAAAACACTCAAAATGAAATAAAAAAGTTTTAAAAAGCAAAAAACAAGCCCGGTGTGGTGGCGCACACCTTTGATCCCAGCACTCGGGGAGGCAGAGGAAGGCGGATCTCTGAGATCTCTGTGAGTTCAAGGCCAGCCTGGTCTACATAGTGAGTTCCAGGACAGCTGTCTTAAAAAGACCAAAAAAAAAAAAAACAAGAAAACAAAACAAATCAAACTTAAGCAAAAATCAAAGTCCAGCAGTGTAGCTCCAAAGTCAAAATCTCAATGCCTGACATCAAAAGGCTTGGGTAGTACCACTTCTCTATCTCTACCAACCACAGCACACAGCTTGTCTCATAGGCTCAGATAGACTCCACGTTACATGTGCTGCTATTCTTCGTGGATGACTCACATTTCTGGAATATCCTGGGGACTCCAGTTGAAGCTGCACCTTCAGCAATGACCTCTCATGGTGCCAAGCCTCAGCTTCTCTTCATGACTCCTTCAATTCTGGAGACTTCATGCCACCAAAACCAGTACCCGTGGGAAACTCTTGCACATTATCAAGTTCAGCTTCCAACTTGAGTGGCAGCCTTGGACCACAGCTTCTGTGAGCTGACCCTGAGGAAATATTGAAGATTTCACCTCAATGATGCTGATTCTTATTAATCACAGCAGTGAAACCAGCACTACTGAAGTGAAACCTTTGCTTTACTGGGATGATTGATGCTGGTTAGCTGGGGCTGAAAAATCAGGGTTATTTTGTCAATCCTTGGTCTTCTGTGTTTATAAATTAATTCTAAGATTTTTTTTTTCCTGCCAGGTGTGGTGGCACACACCTTTGATCCCAGCATTAGCGAGGCAGAGGCAGGTAGATCACTATGAGATTAAGGCCAGCCTGTTTTACATAGGGAGTTCCAGGCTGGCTGTCAAAACAATAATTTTTAAAAATGTATCTCATTTCTTATTTTTATTTTATGTGTATGAGTATATTGCCTGCATATAGGTAGGTACACCCATGGAGGTCAGAAGAGGGTGTCAGATCCCCTGGAATTGGAATTACAGGTGGTTGTTAGCCACCATGTGGATGCTGGGAACTGAACCTGGGTCCTCTGCAAGAGCACCAAGTGCTCTTAACCACTGAGCCTTCTCTTCAGCCCCCAATAATAAAAATTTTAAAGATTTTTTTTATGTCTCTGAAGAATGGCCCTGAAATTTTTATTAGAATTTCATTGAATCTGTACATTGCTTTTGGTAAGATGACCTTTTGAAGAAATTTTTATTTTATTTTTTAATGTGTGTATGGGCATGACTTGTGTGGGTGCCCAAGAAAACCAGAAGAGAGAATTGGATCCCTTGGAGCTGGAGTTACAGGTGGTTGTGGACGACCTGACATAGATGCTGGGAACTGAACTCAGATCCTCTGAAAGAGCAGCAAGTACTCTTAACTACTGAGTCCTCTCTCCAGCCCTGAAGATGGCCATTTTAATAATATATATTCTTCCAGTCCACGAACACGTAAGGTCTTTCCATCTTCTGTCTTCCTCAATTTCCTCCTTCAATCTCCCTTTTTAAAATTTTTATTATTTTTATTTTTTGTGTACAAGTATATTGCCTGCATGTATGTAAGTGCACCTGTGTCATGCAATGCCCACAGAGGTCAGAAAGAAAGTGTCAGATCCTCTGGAACTGTAGTTACGGATGGTTGTTAGCTGCCATATGTGTGCTGGGAATCGAACTTGGGCCCTCTGCAAGAGCAGTCATTACTCTTAAACATTAAGCCATCTCTCCAGCTCCTGTTTAATCTCTTAAAAGTTTTGCTGTAGAAGTCTTTCATTTTCTTGGTTAGGTTTATTCTAAGGTAGCGTGTGTGTGTGTGTGTGTGTGTGTGTGTGTGTGTGTGTGTGTGTGTGTGTTGTGAATGGGATTCTTTCCCTGGTATCTTTCTCAGTATGCTTGTCATTGGTACACAGAAAGACTACTGATTTTCATATTTTACTTTTGTATTCTGTTACTTTGGAACTATTTATCAGCTTTTTTAAATCAATATTTCCTGGTAGACTCTATAAGGATCTCTTACATATTGTCATATTATCTGCAAACAGGGAAATTTCGGCTTCTTTCCTATTGGCATCCATTTTATTTTTTTCATTTGTCTTACAGCTTTAGCTAAGACCTCAAGCACCA